TGTGTTTGCAGTATTAATACAAAAGTCATTCAGTAAATGGTCACTGACTTACCTGGTTTGATGGTGAATGAGTCTTCCATTCTCAAGGTTTGGGTTTTGAAGTTGAAAGAGGGACAGGCACCGAAGAGCTTATCTGGCCAGTGCCCAAGGAGAGGCAGATGTTTTGCATTTTACCTAGACTTTCTTATCCACGGACCTAAGAACTTGCTCCCGGACAGGACCAGCTTCACGGATGTGCGAACTGTGCAGTTGCACACGGCCCTTGCATGGAGAAAGACCCCGGGCTTAATGCCCTGTGCTCACCATGGTGATATTCTTAATGCTTTTTGAACAAGGGGACCCATATTTTCATCTTGTTCTGGGCCCCTCCAATGAGACAGCTAGTCTCCTCTTGGATTATTGTTGACCAAGGCTCTCCACTTCCCTCTTGCTCTTCTCTCCCACCTATGGCCCCAGACGCAGCCTCAACACCATGCTCAGTGTCATGGTCACCAGAATGGGAAGTTGATATTCACTCTGTGGTGAGTCAACCTTCAATGGTCCTCCTGTGGATTGTATGGATTATTTGTCATCCCAAGGCTTTCTCTTGGTCTGGACTTTTGAGAAATGTCAGGTAATTTCAACAGTTGTGCCAGCCAAACATGATCAGGAAGGGAAATGTGTTACCTGGGAAAAGCTTTGCAATGCCAAAGCTCAATAAAAATTATTTTTCATTTGTAATTCCTAGATTCTTATTAACAATAAACCAGTAAATAGGTGAAAATCAATTTCCACTGGAGTCTATATTAGAATTAAAAAAAAAAAGTCTTACCGAACACCTGAGTACTTTGTTTTATGATGTCAGTTTCCTGTAGATTGTTTCTATTTTTTATGTTGAGCCATATGGAGGACATTTATTCAATAGGTTTATTAAACTTTTATATTTGCACCACTTGCATAAACTGCCTAAAAATTATGATGATGAAACTCCTGTCTTTGGATAGTCCTTTGTTTTCTTTCCTTGTCTTTCTTTTTTATTGCCTCAGGAAATTCTTCTGAAAAGGCAATGTTTCTCATTTAACTAATTTAAAAATTGCTCACCTCACCCTATGCCCTCTTCCTCCCTTACTTTGGTAGAAAAGCTTTTATGAAACTACCCTTTACTGTGATGATTTGCACCTTCTTGACGAGCATGGAAAGAAATAGTGCTATCTGTGGTTACTCTGTCGATACTCCTGAGAGCATGTGTCACGCATGACCCTTGGGCCTCCGTGCGAGAACCCCCAGGAGACACTGCTCTCCACTATCAATGAGAGCTGACAGAAGGGCTAGCTCAGCCGGGGCGCTGCCTAGCCCAGCAAGCTAGAATTGCCTCGTAAGGGTCACCGGACAGGGAATGAGATGAGAAAAAAATCCCGTTACCAAAACTTGCTTTAGGAGGAGTACTATATATAGTTAAAGGGACTGTTTGGAGAAGCCACTTGGGGAGGTGCTAAGAATTTCAAGGAGCATGATCAAGTAGCCGTATGCTCCATAAACTTCCCTCTGAGCATCTTGGCTGGATTTAACTGGAGATCTTTTGTTTGCTGGGTGGGGCATGGAATTTTAGGACCGGAGACAAATTGCCTGGGATACTGGATGAGAAGCTGAACCCTGTCAGCAACCCTTTTTTTTTTTTTTTAAACGTCTTTAAGCAGCTCCTCTGTAAATAAATGTGGAGGAGTTATTTTAAAGACTATTGACGTGAAGGGAGGCCAAAGCAGCTTTCCCACAGACCTTCCTACCTTGATCGAGCCCTAATAATGTAAGTGCCTTATATAGTTGAACTTCTCCTGAGGAACTGATTAGTTTTTGTGTTTATAGTCTTTGGGACTCATAACCAGCGCCGGTTTCCTCTTTGAGGTGGCTGGAGCAGGACTTAGAGCTAAATGTGCTGTCCACATACCTCTCACAAGTGTGCAGGAGTCCCCGTATGCCTTCTGTCTTAACTTCATTCCCGGGCCCATTTTCTTGTTTAGCCTTTATTTCCTCTTGCCTAATTTTTCCTACTTATTTTATCTTGTCAAACAGTATACATCTTCTCAGGCCACCTTAACTCCCTACTCTTTTAGCTTTTAAATTATTGTTTAGAAGTATTTTATATAAATATTCTCCTCCTCTTTCAGGGTGGGGGCAGGAGCAGAGGGAGAGGGAGAGAGAATCCCAAGTGGGCTCCAGGCTCAGCCCGGAGTCCAAAGCAGGGCTCAGTCTCATGACCCTGAGATCATGGCCTGAGCTGAAATCAAGAGTCAGAGGCTCACCTGGCTGAGCCCCCCAGGCGCCCCCCCTCTTTCTCTTCCTTCTTTTTCTTCTTCCTCTCCCTTCTCCTCTCTTGTGGTTGCTTCATAAGAGTAACAGCAATTATTTCATATTCCTTATTATTGGCCTTTGTTTCAAGAGCTGGCCTCCATTGTTGTGATACTACAGAAATTGACAAAGTAACCGAAGGGCACGTTTTGGATGAAGATTCATAATACATATGGGGGAGAGAGGGAGGAAGTGCTCAATTAATCTGCCAAATAGTAAAGGCTATATTGTTATACAAATAAACATAGAAACAGGAAAGCAGCAAATGGTATTAACTATACAGGATCCAAAGACAATAAAGGGGCGCCTCGGTGGTTCAGTCGTTAAGTGTCTGCCTTCGGCTCAGGTCATGATCTCAGGGTCCTGGGATCGAGGCCCCACATCAGACTCTCTGCTCAGCAGGGAGACTGCTCCTCCCTCTCCCACTGCCCTCCCAACCCCTGCTCGTGAGTTCTCTCTCTCTCAAAGAAATCAATAAAATCTTTAAAACAAAATAAAGACACAATAAAACACAGGTGAATTGTACTGCACCTCACCAAATAAAGCTGTTATGTATATTGATATTAAAAGTAATTTAATATAGAGTTAGTACTATTCACTTATAGTAAAACTAATAATCAATAAATTATCAGACTAACCTCCTAATAACAGTATTTCCAGTTGCCTATCAGACATTTCCCCCGAGATGTCCCAAGGGCACATTAAACTCAACATCTTCAGTATGAAACTCAGCATCTCTGGAAACCCTCACCGCTGCCCGTACTTCCTTCTTAGTCACTTACATCACTGTTCAGATTCCTCTCTAGAACCCTACATTCAGTCAGTGACCCAGTCCCTTGCTTACGTTTGAAATCCTTCTTGAGTGCAGACTCTGGTTCTAAAGCCATTTTGGATCCTACTCTCTCTCCTCCTACCCTGAGTTCTCCTGTGAGGGTGTGTACTCCAGGGCATACATAAGACTGTCTTCTGAATGAGTGGAGAAAATATTAGAGCTTCTATTCATGTTTTTATCTCTTCAACGTTTCTGGCTTTTATAAAGCATACCAGTTAAATATGTAAATAAATAATAGTCACATGTAGGAGTATGTGCTCAGAAATTTCTAATGGAGTGTAGAGTCCAAATGGTTGGGAGATGATCAATGTAGACTATTGTGGTTCATCATGCTGCCTTTGGTCTAACTTCCCCGCCATTTTATTATTCATCCATGAGGTAAAGTGCTTAGAATAAGCTAAGTACTATTTAAGTGTTAGCTATTAGTATTATTATCCTATCCCCAAACTTAACTTTCTGTCACCGTCTTAAATCCTCATTATCAAACATCTGGACTTTTAGTTCCAAGTCTTAAATCAGTTGGTTCTCATATTGGGATCCCCAGGGTGAGCTCCTTGGCTCCTGGCCTGCTTCGCCAAGTCTACGTGAGCAGAAGCTGCATTCTGGGCTCTGGCTACTTGGAGGAGGAAGACCGCCGTGGCCCAGCGCCACAATAAGACGTATTCACTCTGCTTCCAGCCCCTCCCTCGGTCACTTCCCATAACACGTCACATCCCCGAACCACACAAGTCATTATGCCATCGCCCAAAGAGAAACATATAGGCTTTAGATTATCTATAACATAAAGTCCACATTTCCTTGGGAGAATGAGGAGACTAAAATATATTGGAAAGTATCTGCCTGGGATTTGTGGAGTTTTGTGTTCTACTGCACTTGCTGAGCAAAAGGAAGGTGGGGAAACTGCCTAGTGTTAAGTCTTCGGAGCCAGGTGACATGAATTCAAACCTGTCCCTCTCAAGTGTGATCTTGGGTAAATTGCTACGTATCTCCCTCCCTCAGTTTTCTTATCTATAAAAGGGCACGATGATACCTTCCTCACTGGATTGTAAGACAACACGCTATCATGTTCTTGGGAACCAACAGGTTTTTAATAAATGGTAGGTAGCTCCTGTCATTTGCCACATTCTGACACTTTTAGAAAGTCTTAGGAAGCCTCCCACTAAAGGGCTATTCAACACATTCTAGTTAGAGAGGACTTCTTGAAAGCAGTGCCAACTAAATGGGAGCTGACAAACCTAGGAAGGTCTTAGGCAGTGCCCAGAGTGTAGCGCTGCGTGGCTGGAGCAGGGACAGAGGGCTCCCCAGGTGGGCCTGGGGAGCCAGACTAGGTCAGAGAATAGAATATCTTCTCTTTTTTATGATACTGCAGTTTTCACTGCAACCGACTTTATTTCCATAAGATAGCACATGCACAGACCACTCCATACAACCCTCAGAAAACTAAAGCAGCACCTTTATTTTATACAAACAGTATAAAATGTTCATTATGTAAGAGCTGTGTTTTGTTTACAATATATTATATTGCTTCAAGCCAATGCCAAAAGTCCATACATTATATTCCCTATTTTATTGTGTTTACAATATATTATATTGTTAAATGCCACTGCCACAATGTTCTTTCTTTTTTTTCTTTCTTCTTTCATTCTTTCAATACTGAATTCTCTGGAATCATGGGAAGGTCAAAATATATTGTATTGAGAGTTTAAGAACAAGGGGAATTTAAAAAATGTGACAAATGTCTAAACACATGACAGTAAAATTAGAAATGTTGTAACTTCAATGAGGTTAACTGCTCCATCCAAACCATTGATTTATGCATTTTTGTTCTATTTACCTTCTCCAGTGTTCCCTAGCCCCTCGACACCACGAGTGCATTGTGATTTTGGAAATTATTTGCCAGCTACGCAACTGAAAAGACACAATTTTAACCTGATCAACTGACATAACATCAAATCTGTTCCAAAGCACTGAAACAAGAAATCTATACCATCCCGCTACAGACATACTTAGAAAACTTAAAAGGAAGAGTAAATATCAGCTCAGTGATTTATAATGAAGCTAATAAAATTCAGGCCAGTATTCTTAACTGTAATGAACATTATTTGAACATTCAACACATGAAAGGTTAACAAAGGCTATGAACTTGGTGTAACTTAAAACGTTTCAGATGTCGGAGTTCACCAGATGTAATTGGATTCAGGTGGGTCCTGCCGCTCCTCAGCCTTTTTAAGTGAAGGCGTGCGCTGCCTGAGCCGGGTGCTTGCTGGCCTCAGGGCGTGCATGAGGCTGGCTCCGTACCCTGTAAAATTATTCACAGCTTAAAAGAAAAGAAACTACAAAAACAGGCTCTTCAGATTCATTATTAACCATTCAAATGAAATCCATTTTCCCTTTTCAACCCAGAGTGAAAGACCACAGCCACCACAAAAAGCCACCTGAATGAAGAGATGTTACAGGTTCAAGATCTCTCCTAAAAAAGAAACCCATTTTAGGAACTCCATCAAATCTGGCTTCCATCGAAGCTCTGACTCAGTATAGATTTTGGCCATGCAGAAACTCTTGATGCAAAGTTTGGATGGATGTGCTCGAATGAAGGATTTTCTCCACCCAAGGTCTGGTAAGGATGTGGCACCGAGGTCCCCAAAGCAGGGATGCACCTGCATAGGATTTGATCATTTTCACTGAGTTGCAAAACCAGCCTCGATTGTATTGATCCAGAACAGGCCCCACTCTTCATATCGATCACACAATCAAGTGTGGCTATTGCATTTATACAAAATGGGAATTTTGTAAGAAGTAAGGACTTCCACGATACATTTTAGAGAAGGGTTATGGTTTGAGTGGGTTCCTTATCAGTGGGGATTTGTCAGTTTCAGTCATGGCCAGCATCTATCTATTTGCAGCTTAGTTTAAGTGGACGGTAGCACTAATTTCCATAGCTTCAGACCTCCCTTTCTCCTACTTGTGAACTTCTGGAGGTGCTTGGGGCACTGACTCATTTCTACTGATTTCCTAAAACGGATCCAAGATGGCAATCACATTTAAAAAATCTGCCTCCATCTTCCTGTACATTAAGAGTCGAGTTTGGCATTCCATTTGTTCCCTGTGGTTTTTTAATGCAAGCATGCCATTAAGTAACTACTGAGAACAGAATACTTTGTTCCTGAACGTGTTTCTTTGAATTGTCAGTATGTAGGCTAGTAGCTCAAGGAACAGCCAGAACATGAGCCAACAATGCGCTTGAGTAAATCCCTACCCTGCTGTTCTCCCCGCCACCCATGAAGCCTGAACCTCCCTGCTGGCAAGGGTGAGCCTCAGCCGGGAAGTCTGTCTCCAATGTCCTCCTCCCCAGTAACATGTCTGGGTGCCCGAGACCTCCCAGAGTGTCACCTCGCTGGGAGTCTGTTCTCAGCAGAACTCCGTGCCTCAGCGCTTCCTCGTCACCTCCTCCTGGTCAAAATAAACCTCTTTCTGATTCTCTAAGCTAATGTACAAAATGGTTGGGTGGCCTCTGTTGGACAACACATTTGCATTTTAATCAGGCACCGGGGTATATTCTTGAGGCAACGCCTTGATCTGAGGAAGGTACATTGATGACAAAACTCTCAGCAGCAGGTCGAGAAGTGCCGGTGGGTGGGGGCTGGTGGACCTGTCCGAATTGCTTATCGATGCCACCCAAGGGCCCCTGACTTGCCTTCTTTTTGGAGGCGTGACTGCTGTACTCTCAGCCATCACTCTTGGTCACCAGGTCCCAAATATGGGTCCCTGAAGATCTCTGTAACTGACTCCTGGGATGAATAGTGTGACCTCAGGCCATTCCTAGGTCCGAGGATGTCTCAAAAGTTACTTGTATCCTGAGTTAAGGGTGGCATAAGGATTTGGTTTATTCTCTCCCAAAGTGTCTCTAGAAATGGTTAGTTTTCCACAGGTCTTTTAGCCCCCCAAAAGCTTCCCCCAAGTGTGTCCCTGCAGGGATACCATTCAGCCATTACTATCTGGGGAAAGAATTATTTTCCAGAGGAGCTTAACTTGTTAAGCTACACCCACCTGAAGCCAATTCAATCTACCATCTAGTCAATTTAGCGCCTGACAAGACTCCAGTCAATGGCTGAGTGTAGCCTAGGCCAGACACCAACCAGCCTTAAAACTAACAAATAAAAAGTCACGCATACCTACATATAAATACATTAGGTATACATCATAATAATATAATGTGAACATTACAAAATACGCACAAAAATTAGAGATTTGGGATCGAGATATGTAAATATATTTTTATATATGTTTATATATAAATATAATAAAATAACATAAAATATAAAACTATCATCAAATCCGTCTTTTCCATCGCCTAACTGATCATTTCCATACTCCCTGGGCTACATGGACCACCCTTTGGAGATTGCGGATCTAGAAAAACATTGGATGTGAAGGTGATCTGTTCCATTTGTGTCCATTATTTTGGAAACTCACTGTGACAGGCACAATCTGAACTTCTGCATTTGAAGGCTATTGTATGACTGAAGCCTTCCTTCCCTCAAAGGAAAAGTGGAGCTGGGCCCACACCTAGGAGATGGAATGCTAGCTGCCAGATGTACCGAAACCACAATGTTTAGCTCGTTCCCTTGCTCACTGACTGTCCTTCCCGCTAGAACCTGGGCTCCACCAGGCAGGGCATTTTCTGTCTGCTCACTGGCAGGTCTCCAACGCCTGGATTCCTGCTTGGAACAGAGAAGATATCAATCAAAATGAAATGGTTGAATTTAACCAGCTTCATTTTGTGTCGAAAACAGGCCAGTGGTTTATCATCTCTACAGCTAGCTCATTTTGGGTAGTTAGTAAATTTATTTTAAAAAGCACAACTCCAGTATAAGCTCTCTCCCATACTCCATAGACCTTTCCTTTCTTTCTTTCTTTTTTTTTTTTTTGGCCTCAAAAGATCTTATTTAAAATATACCATAACCAATAACATTTAATGATCTTAAAAGAGCAAAATTCTTCATGTTTTGTATGCTCACAGATAGATCTTGAAGGATAAAAACATAGCCAAATAGATCTATATATTTGGTTTAAACTCTTATACTTGTTATTTCTTTCATAGCTACCACACTGTATGACCAAATCAACCTGAATTACTGATTTCACTTAGAAAAGAGCCGCGTAGCTGTTTTATAGATGTGCTGATAATTTACACAGCTGCATTGCCCTTAGACACTAAAACTTAGACTCGAAGGTTTAAAGAGTTGAGGGGGCCAGGGGGGAGCACCGAGGAGAGGAGGCAGAGAGGGGGAAGCTGCTTTTACTAACACGGAAAGCAGGGCTGAGCTATGGGTTATCCATTAGCCCCAGGAGCCAAGACAAGTTAGAGGTGGGCTCTCCCAACGCCTTCCACTCACTCACTTTTATTGCAGTTTCTTCCGTGCCAGCCTTCCTGACATTGGCATTGGTTGGGCTCATGGCAGGTTCCGTGGGTACCACAGCCAGGCTCGCAGACAGCTAGAATCGGAGGAGATAGAAAGTGTTTTCTGAGCTTTCATTGTTCAGAATTAGCTGCTTTTCCTGCAGTTCTTTAGAATGTGTTTTATTGGGGCACCTGGGTGGCTCAGTCGGTTAAGCATCTGCCTTTGGCTCAGGTCATGGTCCCAGGGTCCTGGGATCGAGCCCCACATCGGGCTCCCTGCTCAGTGGGAGAGTCTGCTTCTCCCTCTCTCTCTGACCCCCCTCCCCACTTGTGCTCTCTCTCTGTCTCAAATTAAAAAAAAAAAAGTTTAAAAAAAAAAGGAATGTGTTTTATTTTGGGCTTCATTCCTTGTTGTTGTTGTTGTTTTTTCTAAGCCAATATCCAGCTATAAGTCAGTTTGGGACTTTTTGGAAAAAGGCCCAAGAGAGATGGCAAACTAAAGTTGATGCTTCTCAATCACAAAAGATGCTCAGTAGGACTCGGAAACTGCTGGAATGGAAGCTCATTTTCCTTAAGAAAACCCCGGATAGTTAAAAAGCTGAGTTGCTTGCGTGTGAATGTGTCTGTGTTTTCACATGCATGGGTTTCAGACAATGTCTTTGTTCTAGATAAAGGAAACACAGATGTCCGTGAAGAAAGGTTCATTGTGATGCTTAGGCAACATGCAGTAGGTTCAGAAGTTGTGTAGGAGGAGATCCCTAAGCCTGGGCTGATTCTGTGGATGGGTACTTACGCTTTGAACAGAGGTCTCCTTGGTAACCTTTGGAGCACTTACATTTGCTTTTACCAATGCATTTACCTCCATTTCGACAGGGCTGTGGGCATTTGCCTGAAACAGAGGGGAATGCAAATAAGCAAGGAACTCAGTGCTTCGTTCAGAGGTCATCACATTTTTCAAAGGAATTGCAGGGATTTGAGAGGGTAAATGCTTTTTTTTTTTTTTTAAAGATTTTATTTATTTGACAGAGTGAGAGAGCACAAGCAGGGGGAGCAGGAGAAGGAGAGGGAGAAGCAGGCTCCCCACTGAGCAGGAGCCCAATGCAGGGCTCGATCCCAGGACCCTGGGATCATGACCTGAGCCCAAGGCAGATGCTTAACCGACTGAGCCACCCAGGCGCCCGGAGGATAAATGCTTTTAAATGGCAGCTATTCCCACTTAGTCAGACCTGCTCTGGCTTTGATACTGTTTGAGTTGGAACAAATGCACTCAGTATTTTTACTTGTGATTTTTAATGTATATCTGCTACAATAAATGTGTTGCCCACATGCTACATTTATGTTACTTTTTAATTAACAGAATAAAATTCTGATTCATAAACCCTTGTAGTTTAAGATACAGTACAAGTTAAGATGTGAATAAGTCGCCAAGTGCTCTTTTCTCTGAGTTCTGACTTTGCATGTTACTCTTTCTGAAAGCAGGCCTACACCTGTACCCAGCAGTATCTTTCCTAGCCTAGGATGCTCCAGAGAGCAAGGCTTGTATGCAGAGAGTTTCTTTGGTAAAGTGATCCTAGGAAACCGAAATGGGGGACAAGGAGAGGAAAGAATGGAAGGAGGAAAAGCCAACACAGAAGTGTGCGTGTGGGTTGGTCATCACTGTAGGCACCCAGGCTCTATCCTGCAGGGTCCTTCTGAGGAGCCACGGAGACTGCACCTTAAAGTCACTCTTAAGAAGGGAGAGGGGGAGCATTTGTTCTTTGGCACCTGTCTCCCACTAATCGAGGGTCACCCTATGGGATGACTTCCTCACATTTCCAGTCTGCCACTATGTGAGCGCAGACTGATTTTGTAGGACTCAGAGGAGCCTCAAGCAGGAGAAGCGTGGAGCAGTTAAGATGGGGTACAATCAGGTTATGCCTGTGCAAAACAGGTTCCCCCAGTAGTGACTGGAGTGAAAGGCGGGCTGAGAAGAGATATGAGGTAGGGCACCAAAGGGGCCCCATACCACACCTATGCTTTTTTCTAGAATGTCTTAGATCCTCACAATACATCATTCTTTCTTTTATGTCAGTGCCAAATGAGAATTGCTAATGTTTTCATAGCTCTTTGGGTTATAGGATTTTAGAGCTGGAGTGGGGCCTTAAATGTAAAAAATGATATAATGATTGTCTTCTTATTCCAGAAGCTATTTATTCTCCCTCTGCAATCTAGAATTTGCCACCCTGAGGCTGAAAGTTTTGAAGAAGTAGAAGAAAAAGGATTGTTCACCCAGAGCTGAGACCGCATCCTGTGGCAGGCATGATGACGTTCCAAAGAGAGCAAATAGCCATTAGGTTTTGGTAGTGGAGGGGTCTGGGTTTTTTTTATTGTTGTTCTTTTTCTTTTTTTTACATTTTAGCAGAACATTCACTACAAAGGTCTCGATACATAAGGAGAAGAAACGAAATCTTTATCATAAAACAACACCCCTTTTATTCTCTAAGCTCCTCTTTTTATGGTCAAATGAGCCTTCGAAAGAAGTGAGCTACTCTATGTTTTACCAGCAAGTACTATGTTTGATAAACATGAACTCCATATGCAAATTATTTTGCTGAAACACTTTACTTCTCTTTTAACTTATCCAAAAGGACTTTCTTCATGTATAAATCGACCATTGTCATTGTGCAGACAATACAGATATAAGAGTGAGATGTTAGAGTCTCTCAAAAACCTGGAATACCATTATACCTTTAAGTTTTTTGGATGCAGGGATGTTCTAGAAACAGGCATCAAACAACCTTAATAATAAAATACCACATTTTCATTGACCATTAAAAATCCAAAAGGGTCCTTTTTGCTAGGTTTGGATACAAAGAATAGTGTTTACTATTTGGTCAAGATCCCAACTCTTACCTAAAGGAAGGGAATGCCTAACTCTGAATTTCCATTTGTATCAATGAACCATATGACCCCACCGTACATACAAAATTGGATCATATCACAGTACTCTGCCATGCACTTGGGTTTTTCAAGTAAACAAGACATGGGGCAATAATTATGTGGCAGAAAAGACAGTACTTATTGTGAAATACTTGGTGAGCCCAAATTTCCCCACGTTCAATGAGAGGTGAACTTGGTAGCCAGGGGTATCACAGAGAATGACTGGTGGAGAGAACCTTTTCATTGGCTCCATGGGTCTTTTTGTTTTCTTGGTCAGAGGGAAGTGAGAGTCCTTAGGTTCACCACAGCCAGGAATAAGGATGTTCTCTCTTGGTTATCACACAGCAGAAATGTGATTACAGGTGACTGTCCCAAGGCCATTCCAAATCAAATCTTATGAAGCCAAAGCCTCATGAAGGTCTGATTGTTTTAAAAATCAGAATCCTCTAAGTGTCTTTAATGTTGACTTCCTTTTCCTGAAAGTATTTTGCAACAAATTCTATCCATTGGACAGTGGGAAAGTGAGCCAGCTTGAAAGATAACAGACTAAGCATACCTAAAACAGACTAAGCATTGCCTAAGGCAAATAGATTTGACTAAGTTTATATGTTAACATTTTTACTATAACCAGTGGATGAGTCCAGCGAGACGATGAGTTAGGGATCGACAAAATAAAGACATTAAACTTCCTCTGCCCATCAGATTGTAGGATAACTTAAATGTGTGACTCTGCTTCACATAGAAAACAGATAAAAATGGTTTATGATAGTGTCAACAACTATCATCTCTAGGTCTTAGGATTATGGGTGATTTTTAATTGTTTTATTCAGTATTCTAAATTTTTTTTTAGTATTCTAAATTTTTTTTAATAAAGGACATTTTATACAGAGGACTTTTATTTTTTTTTTTAGTCCCATAGATTTTATTTTATTTTTTA